GGACCTCGCAGGTGCCTGCTAGCCTGTCACTCCTACTAGCCCATCTCCAGTGACCAACAAGCTCCCTGGGATCTCATCATCCCTCCAAACTGGACAATCTGGTTCTCAGGAAGCTCCAGGCCTTCCCATATCTGTCCCAGGGCAGAGGCAGCCCCTCCCCCAATCTGTCCTGCTCTCCTTCAGGCCTTGTCCATCATCACCCCCACGAGACACAGGTTTGGGAGAGGAAGCAGCTGTGACAGGCCCCAGGGCAGAGCAGGGCTTGGAGGCTACCGGGAGGTGTGGGCAGGGCCTAAAGAATGCCCTCAGCTATTTGACCATAGGGCCCGAAGTACTCCAGGCTGTCTCCTTTATTTTATTTTTTAAAGTTTACTTCTTTATTTTGAAAGAGACAGCGAGCATGAGTAGGGGAGGGACAGAGAGCAGGTGAGAGAGAATCCCAAGCAGGCTCCACGTTGTCAGCACAGAGCCCCAACTCAGGGCTCAAACTCATGAACCGTGAGATGAGCACCTGAGCTGAAACCAAGAGTCGGTCATTTAACCGACTGAGCCACCCAGAGGGGCCCAGGCTGGCTCCTTTAGAAGAAATTCATACTTTGAGATCATTTTGCCTGTACTGTGACCAACTGACAAAGCTTTTGAGCACTTCACATCCATCTGTTCCTCCTGCATACCCTGAATGTAGGTAAAGGGTAAGCAAGGGATTCTACGCCATTCTATAGCGAAGGGACTGAGCAATCAGAAAGGTCAAGTGACACAGAATGCGCCAGAGATGACGTCAAGGTCCGAGGTCAAGGAGAACCCAACTCCATACACTCCTTGCCGACTAGAAGTGGGCTCCTTCTAAGATGGCTTATATACTACATCTTATCTCGGAGAATTTAGGGTGAAGGCTACAGAAACTGGCTCCTCAAAAACAGTTAGCATTCATTTATTGAGCACCTGCTGTCAGGTGCTCTATTAAATTCTATTAAATTCTGTTAAAGTACACACACATTACTTGGTTTAAACCTCCACTCAACTACATCAGGCAGGAACAATTATCATCCTCATTGCCCCATTGGCATCATCAGGTACAGAGCAGGTAAGTGATCCCCCGAGGATCACACAGGGGGACAGCTCAGAGCCTGGAGCCTGCTTCCAATTCTGCGTCTCCCTCTCTGCCCCTCCCCTGCTTGCTCTCTGTCTCTCTCTCTCAAAAACAATAAACATTAAAAAAACTTTTTTTAATTAAAAAAAAAAAAACCAAGGTAGTATATCTTCCCGTGACCTGGCAGGATGTGGGTACAGACTCCAGACCTGGACCTATTTAGAGCCACCTTCATTTACCTGCCAGGTGAATGCCTCTCTGTTTCAACACCATTAGCTCAACAAATACTGATTAGGTTCCATGTGTTATAAGACAGGACCGGCACCAATGAAAATACACATTAAATTAGAGCCTCCAGGATTTAAGAGAGAAAACAAAATTTAGCAGCTGAAAGCTGCCATTTTACAAATCTCGGTCATCCCAGCAGGTGGGGGTATTAGCTCCTTTTTATAAATAGGGAATCGGAGGCTGAGAGGTTAAAGTAACTTGCCCAAGGTCACAAACCTGAAGTGTAGAGCCAGGATCCTACCCAAAGTCCATACTCTCTGCAGCCTGCCTGGCATCCAGCGGGCCTCCCGTGAGGGTGCAGATGTGGGAATAAACTGGGGGCTATGATCATCCAGAAAAGACGGGCATTCACACCTGCTACCTTCAAAAAGGTGGCTTTAGAGCTCAGCCTCAAAGGTCAGGAAGATTGTGAAAGCCAGCAAACTCCCTAATTCACCGCATCTCATGTCTGGAGGCAGGGAGTTGAGCCCACTGAACTCTGCACGAAAGCATTCTCCAAAGAAGGGACAAGCCATGGCCAACCAATGCAGGTTTTTGAGTCATGCCTCCTGCCTGCACAGACTTCTACCTGCATCTGCATCAGGCTAACCATTCACCAAGAAAGCACTTCCTACCACGTCATTTAATCTGATGCCTGTAAGAGTCCTCGGGATCGGCAGGGCAGGGTGGGAATGTGGCCCATTTACAGAGAAGGAAGCACCTGTCTGTACCATTCAATGCTCCATCCTCGGCCCTTGGACCTGGGCCTGCCAGATGAGGTGCTCAAAAAGTTATGTGCTGAATAATCTAATAAAAGCTCAGAGAAGGGAAACGACTGGGCCAAAGTCTCTCAAATTGTTGAGACGGCCCCAGGACTAAAAACAGGGCCTTCTGCCTCCCACCCAGGGACCTCTGTATCCTACTGCACGTACTGGGTCCTACTACCCACCCACATACACTCGCTCTGCTGCTTCCATCTGGAATGACAGCCTCCTCTGTCCACTGGTCTGCTCTGCTCCCACTCAGCCCTCACCTCCCACGATCAACAGACAGGCTGTCAAAAACAACTAGTTACATTAGATCAAACCCCCCACACGTAACACCACTTCCTTATATCCCTACCACCCCGCTGAGAACGAGGTGAAAATTTTCAGATGAGGAACATGAGGCCCATGCAAGGTAACAGAATTAATGGCAGGAAACAACAACAACAACAACAAAAACCCCTGGAGTTTCAAAGGGAGGCCCAGAGTTTGTGCCACCCCCTCACCCCATTAACCCACCAAAGCACATGTTGACTCCCCTTGGTCCAGAGATCCTTGCAGGCTTTGAATGCCAAGCCCAACTTCCCTGCCTTCCTCACCACCAAGAGACAAGTGAGGGGAAGTTTCCTGCCCCTCACAGGGCTGCATTCCAGCCCCATCATGCACCATTTGGGCCTCTGGGCTGGTCACTTCCCCCTCCTCAACCTCAGGTATGCCAGGCTCACATCAGCCAGCGCCGGCTCTTACGACTGCTGAGTCTGCCCTCCAGATAACGAAATTTCCCAGAGGACCCTGTTCCCACCTGGCTGCCCAGAGGCCTGGTGCACACCCCCACCACCCTGAGCAGAGTATCAGGAGTCTATATATGTATACAGATACACAGAGAAATGGAGACTATATAATTTTCCTCCCCAACTATATTTAATATATTCATTCATTCATCTGATACCTGTGTGTGGGTCCCGTGGCCAAGCTGAGGAGACAGGGGTTTCTGTCCCCAAGGAGCTTCACCCCACAGCCCTGTCACTCCTGCCCCCACTAGGCATATAGTAGGTGCTCAGTAAACAGGAATGTCTCTTCTACTCCACGGAAGATACCAAGACATCCACGGCCCTAACCCCTCCCCCTCCTGTCCAATTTAAAATCTAGTCTCATGAAGGCCTCACCCTGAAATGTAAAAAGGGCCCCCCCTGCCTTGGCCTCAGGAGAGCTCCAAATTACCACTGGATTCTCAGCTCCATCAAGAGCCCAACTGCCCCAGGAAATAAGCCCCTAGATTGGGGGGCTGTCACAGCCTCTCCCCCAGCTCCCCCTGGGGGGCCCACAGGAAGAGGGGGAGGGGTGTTCAAGCAACTGCCACACTGCAAATAAGTCAGCTGGAAGCCGGAGACCTTCTGCTGTCGCCCTATAGGGTGAGGCCCAGCAGAAGCCTCGGCCTGGGTCTCAGGTCGCGGACTTTGAGGAAGCCCTTTGTGCGTGTGTTTTAAATTACCTCTGCTTGTCTGATGAAGTGAGTAAAAAGGGCGCCGATTCAGGGCTTAGGATTCCTGAGTGAGCTAATACAGGATGCCTTTGGCTGGAAAAAAAAAAACTTCAGGCGGCTCCCTAAACTCCCCCCCTTTTAAGTTTAAAAAAGGGAATGAATGTTACCATTTTTGGACATGAGCGTTCTCCCTCAAGCCCAGCCCTAACCGCACTATCCAAAGGGACGCGCCATCCTGTCCCCCCCATTCCCAGATCTGCGGGGGGGGGGAGGGGTGTAAGGGGGGAGGATGAAATGAGGAGGGACCGGATGGGAGCGGACAGCGGGGGAGGGGGGAGAGGAGGGTGTTCAGGGTACGTGGCCGCCTGGGGCAAGAGCTCACAGCGCGGGCAGGAAGCAGAGGCAGGGTTGGGGCGCCCTCCTCCCCCTCCCCACAAGCGTGGTTTCTGACCTCTTCCTGCCGCCGGCCACTGTGCCCAGGTCCCATTGCCAGCTCTGAGCCCACCCCCCGCGGAGGGTGCGCACCCGGCACACCTCGTCTGGGGCTCCTGGGGAAGGTGGCTAAACAGGGGTTCCCCATTGACTGACCCCAAATATCCCAGTAAACAACCTCTTGCCCTGGAGCCCTTCAACTCGGATCAAGTTGCCCAAATTCGCCCTCTCCCAGGAGTAAGGGGGGTCGGACCGGCAGGACGCAGACGCAAACCCATCTCCGCCCGCAGCTGAGTTAAGCAATAAAACGGTTGGTCTTCCTGACCCCGCCCCCACAGGGCCAGCTGGGGAACCCGCATGTCCCCCCGCCCCAGTTTCCTCAGCCCCAACCCATTCCAGTAGGACCCCCTCCAGGCGGACTCGGAGGCAGCCGCCAACCCCTGCGGCGCCCGCTTTCCCCTCGGCCTGCGGGCTGGGGTTGGGAGGTGCAGAGTCCCGTGCTGCTCGCCTCCTGCAGGTACGAGCCCAGGGCGGCCCGGGAAGCGCGCTGCCACCGCACGCCAGATGGAGAGGCGGCCAGGGGGCGGGGAAGGGAAGGGAAAATCGATCCGGAGCAAGCAGCCACCGCGCCACGGCTCTGCCCCAGCCTCCCAAGCACCGCCCTCCACCCCCTGCCCACGCGGGGACGGTGCGGCTGCAAGCCGGTGGCCTGAATCGCGGACCCCAAGGCGACCTGCTCGCCGGCGGCCCCACCTCCCCACGCTTAAGCTCCGGCGTTCGCGGGCTCGGGAAAGGGGCTCTCCTTCCGCCCGCGCCTGTAACCCAACACCCCACCTCGCAGCGGCCGCGCATCCCCCGCCCCCGCTCGTGCGAGCCTGGAACCCGTTCGGAGCCGGGAGCCCGGAGCGCGGCTAGCGGAGCGGGCCGGGCCGGGGTGCTACGGCGTGCTGGGGCGGCTGCTGACCTTTCTCTGCTGCTTCTCCCAGGCCGGGTCCAGGAGCAGGTCTCGATCCCAGTCCTCTTCCGGCTGCATGTAGTCGTTGGTTTGCTGGGAATCATAATGGTCCATGATGGTGCGCGCGTGCTACAAGCTGGATTTCTTCCTCCACCTTCTCTCCGGGCAGCGGTGGCGGCTGCTTGCTGCTGCTCCTGCCCCGGCGTGGGGAGGCAGTCGGGCCGGATTGGGCTGGGCTAGCGGGGCCGGGCTCGCTCCCCTGCGCCCAGTTCCGCCGCGGCGCTGCTCGCGGTGGCTGCTGCTGGCGGCGGTGGCGGCGGCCGGCTGCTGGAGCTCGCGGACTGCCTGCCTGGGACCTAATCTCCACGCACAGTGAGCGAGGCGGACACACTCGCGCTGCGGGAGCCGAGGCGGGCGGGGGCGGGGGGAAGGGGCAGAGCCCTCCCGAGGTTCTCCATTGGCCAGGCCGAGTTGCCCAAACTTCCCCCCATCGCCTTTCATTGGGAATTCCTGGCATCCGTCAGCCGGGCCGCGGCGCATATAGGTGGACTGGGCGGCCCCCTCCCGGCGCGCACGCCCCCGCCCACTCCCTGGGTTCCCACTCCCCCGCCGCTCATGTGACACCGGCTTAAGCCGAACGGGACCGATGCCGGGGGACGCCTCCCCGAGCTGTGGGACCGAGCGGCAGCGCGCCCCGGAGCCCTAGTCGCCGCCTGGGACTGGACATGCTCCCCGGCCGCGGGAAGGCGGCGAACTCCGGCGAGCCGGCCCTGCTGCGCCCCCCACACGCCCCAAACCCCAGGTGGCCAGGGGCTGGAGAAAGGACGCAAGGAAACCCGGAAAGCATTTCACTTCTCCTTCCCAGGGGCCGGAGAGGTCAGCACCCAAGGAATGGGGGCAGGGAATGCTGGAATGGAAAGGAATTTCCTGGGAATTTCCTGACTCCATCCCTCCCGCCTCCACCCGGCCCCGCCCGTCGCGACCAGGCAGACCCCTGCCCTACGAGAGGCGGGTATCTTGCCCCTGAACGGCACTCGGAGCCACAGAGCTTTCCCGCCTCGCCACCGGCTCCTTTCCAGCCCGACCTCGGGCTCGGGGGACCGCCCCGCCTAGGGGCTTCCCCGGCACCGCCTAGGGCCCCCAACTTCCTGGGATCCGCTGTCCGTCCCCGCGGGCGGACGGGCGGGATCTACGCTCTGATACACCTGGGCAGCACCCTGAACACTGGGAGGGAGGGCCCTGAGAGGTTTACCTACTCTATGCCCCGCCCCCAACACACACACCTGACAGATGGGGAAACTGAGGCTCAAAGAGTTGAGTTCGAAGAGGGATTTAGCAGGTTTTCAGGACTCCACAGACAGACCTTAGGCCTGATAAACAAAGCCTTATTGTTACTGGAGGAGGAGGGAGGGCAAGCCTGGCTAAACACCTCTAACTTCTTGGTTGCCTGCCTGAGCTTCCTTCCCCGGGCCTAGTAAGGAGGGTCTAAACACACTGCCTCAGCTGTGAGACACTGGGAAGAGGCAGCCCTGACCTCCTGGTGGGCTCCTCTGAGGGGTCCCAGACCGAAGCAAGTAGCAAGCAGACGTCCAACAGGGCATGCGCAAGGTAGGGTTTTAGGTTTGTGCCCCGAGGGTTAGCTGAGCCAACTCAGACTCCAGCGAGTCACCCCAGAGGGGAGCGAAGGAGTGCATTGCAGGTGGGGCCATGAATTAGGATACTTGAAAGGCCACAGACGGAAAAGGCGAAGTGCCCTCGACTCTCAGAGCAGCGAGCTGAGGCTGCTGTAAGCCACTATGTGCTGTGCTGTCACTCCCTGTATCATTAGTCAACCTCACGTTGCTGCAGGTGTGACCGGTCAGCGGCCAGCACTGTGCCTGCCACAAGCCCTACTGCCTCTGCGCCAGAGAAGGTAGATTTATGGACTCTTTTATAACCATTTCTAAACTGTGGCTCTAATCCTAACAGAGACGGCGATAAGGTGCTGCAGCCATTCATTCACTCAATAAGCATTTGCTGAGCACCATCTGTATGTCAGAGGATGTGCTAGATGGCATGTACATACAGATGACAAAGACACATTTCCTTCCCCACGCAGCCCAGCAGAGACAGATCCAGAAACGAAAATATACTGCAAGGAGACAGTTCTGACTGCTGAGCCCAGCAGGGTAAGAGAGGCTCCAGGTGGAACTTTCTGGAGTAGGTAAAATTCAAGTGAGCCTTAAAAACCAGAGTCAGGCAGATGAAGAGTGTGGGAAGTTATTCCAGGCAGAAGGAGCGGTGTGAATTAGTAACAAGGGGGCAGGAAACTGTAGGGTCTAAAAGGAATGCCTAACATTTCGCTGCGGCTAGACTAGAAATCCAAGGCCAGGAAGGGCAAGAGATGAGGCCTTGGAGGTAGTCAGCAGCCGGGCCACGTGGGCCTGGTGCACCGCGTGAAGTGTGGATCTGGGGGGAACGAGGCTGTGCACAAGCTATGAGACTCAGGAGCAAAGCAGTTGCAATAATCTGGGTAGGAATGGTGCCTCTGTTACCGCTGTAACAGAATCCTGTAGACTGGGTAGCTTCCACAGGAGCATCTATTTCTCAGGGTTCTGCAGGCTGCAAAGTCCAAGGTCAGATTACGTGTGGCGAGAGCCCACATCCTGGCTCCTAGACAGCCATCTTCTGTGTCTTCACGTGGTGAAAGGAGCTCTGCCCTCATGACACCTACTCACCCTCCTAATACCATCACACTGTGGGGCAGGATTTCAACATGTGGATTTTGGTGGGACGTGAACTTCAGTCTATTGCAAATGGAGGAGAGTGGAGAGACAAGAAATACTTAGAATATAAAACTGAGAGGCCTCAGAGTTTCAATCTGAGAACAAAGGAGTCTTTGCTGCTCTCGACCAATGTCCCGTATGGAATAGACCATGCAGTTTATCAACATCATCTTGGGTAAGCTCTGCTAGGAGATGAGAGCTGTCTCTGCCTTACAGGGAAAACCAACCAAGGCTCGGCGAGGTAGCTGGCTAGCCCAAGGTTACACATCGGTATGACACCTATACCCATGCTTTGGACCCAGTGTTTCTCAACCCTCGGATAGTTCGACACCCTCCCTCCCAGGGGATATTTGGCAATATCTGGAGACACTTTCTAGTTATCACAACTGGTGGGTCACCCTTGGCATGCAGTGGACAGAGGCCAGGACTGCCGCTAAACATCTTTAACAAGCAGGACAGGACAATCTTCTCACAACAAAGAATGATCCAGCCCAAAATACCAACAGTACTAGAGTCGAGAACCCACCCTAACTATTGGTTTCTAGTTTGGAGGATCTGGTGAATGGTGGCAGTACAACCAATTGACATAAAGAGTTTCAGATTTAGGGGGCGCCTGGGTGGCTCAGTTGATTAAACATCCGACTTTGGCTCAGGTCATGATCTCGTGGTTCTTGGGTTCGAGCCCCCCGTCAGGCTCTGTGCTGACAGCTCAGAGCCTAGAGCCTGCTTCAGATTCTGTGTCTCCTTCTCTCTCTCTGCCCCTCCCCAACTCATGCTCTGTCTCTGTCTCTCAAAAATGAATACATGTTAAAAAAATTAAAAGAAAAAAACAATTAAAAAAGAATCTCAGATTTGGGAATGGAATCCTGGATTGAGTTTGAACACATGGAGCTTGAAGTGCTTGGAGAATGTTCAAATTTGGTGGTCCAGCAAGCAAATGACCACATGGCCCTGACCTCATAGGAAACAGATTTGAGAGTCATCTATGTACGGGTGGTATTGACCCCATGTGCCCACCCACGAAGAACAATGCCTAAGTGGAGCGGGGTGGGGGGACCACGGGCTGAACCCGGAGAAGCAGCACTTAGAAGGGAAGTGTAAAAAACAGGATCCCCTAAAGGTGACAGAGAGGAAGGGGTCAGCAGGAACATAGAGAGCCTGGCCCACATGGTGTCATAAAAGTCAAAGGTGTGAAATTTTGAAGACAGAAGAGTCGTCAGCAACATCAGATATATCAGGAAAATAAGGCTTAATGAAGTATTCTTTGCATGTGATCATTGAAAATTCATTGGTGTCCTTTGCCTGTAGAGTTTTAGTAGTGTGGCCAAGCTGTGAATTTAAGAGACACTAGGCAGGAATAAAGGACAACAGTGAATATAGAAGGAAAATAGAAGTGAATATAGAAGGGAAGTAGCAGTCCTTAGAGGGGGCCCAAAGGGGGAATTTTTTTTCCCTTTGAATAGGAAAAACTTAACCTGTTTGTAGTCTGAGAGGAAGGATTCAGTTGAGAGGAAAAAATTGAAAACGCAAGCAAGTGGAAGGTCAGAATAGCACAGTTCTTGAGGAGACAGAACTGGGTGGGTCCAAGGATGCAGGCTAAAAGGATGGGCCCATAAAAGGAGGAAAGGAGGGGGTGCCTGGGTGGTTCAGTCGGTTAAGCGTCAGACTTGGGCTCAGGTCAGGATCTCACAGTTCATGGGTTCGAGCCCCGCATCAGGCTCTGTGCTGACAGCCAGCTCAGAGCCTGGAGGCTATTTCAGATTCTGTGTCTCCTTCTCTCTCTGACCCTCCCCTGCTCACACCGTCTCTCTCTATCTCTCAGAAATAAATAAAACATTTAAAAAAATTTTTTTTAAATAGGGAAGGAGGTGTGCCTGGTTGGCTCAGTTGGTAGACCATATGACTCTTGATGTTGGGGTTATGAGCTCAAGCCCCACATTGGGTGGACAGATTACTTAAAATTAAAATCTTGGGGTGCCTGGGTGGCTCAGTCAGTTAAGCATCTGACTTTGGCTCAGGTCATGATCTCAGAGTTCATGGGTTTGAGCCCCACATCGGCCTCTGTGCTGACAGCTCAGAGCCTGGACCCTGCTTCAGATTCTTTTTTTTTTTTTTAATTTTTTAAATATTTTTTATTTATTTCTAGTAGAGAGAGAGAGTGTGAGCAGGGGAGGGTCAGAGAGAGAGGGAGACACAGACTCTGAAATTGGCTCCAGGCTCTGAGCTGGCAGTCAGCACAGAGCCCGACACGGGGCTCAAACCCACGAACTGCGAGATCATGACCTAAGCGAAAGTCGGACGCTTAACCGACTAAGCCACCCAGGCGCCCCCCTGCTTCAGATTCTATGT